CGCCAAGCTCTAGCGTTGTTCTTCCTCTAGGAATCAGTCTGACCAAAGCTGGGGTCACACTGCCCTGGGCGAGCGTGCTGTCTGCTCATGCACTCAGTGGACGTCTCAGAACTTGGCACAGCTTCCACTGGGGGCTGGGGGGGGCATTCATTTCAGGAGCGCTGGGCTTTTGGAAGAAGTGTGGCCAGCCGCTGCGCTGTCACTCATAACGGAGAGGAGAGAGCCTGCAGACACGCGAGGGCAGGCGTTTCTGTCACAGCGCGTGGAGATCACACGCAATAACAGCCCCGCGCTTGTCAGGTCCGCTGGACTGCAGGACAGATGTGTAAATCACCCAAGACAAAGCAGCGTGCCAGGCCAGAACCCCTGGGCTTGGAATCAAAGAGGTTACTAAGGGGGCAATGCATGCGAACTGGGAAAGAACTGAAAAAATCAAGGGCTTTATCTGGAATTAAAGCATTAAAAATGAGGTCTGTTTCTAAACCAGTGTCACTGATTTTAAGCTGGGTTTGTACAATACATGAGAAGTACTGTAAGTGATGTGTTTTTTTTTTACTTTACTGTTCACGGTGTGTTGAGTTTTGCTATGATGCAGATTCCACTGCCCCACAACTATCCTGGAACTGTGATTCCAACTACCTGTAATTGCATTTTAAGTGCAATTCTGCTTCTCCACCTGCAGTTTTTGTACCTTAACCTCCCTTTAAAGTGTAGTAAAAGACTTCTTGTTATATTTTTCTCAGGTGAATAGCACTGTGAATATTGTGTAGGTAAATGTTTTGATAGAGCTCCAGCCTGCATACTGTACATGTGAAGTATGCATAGTTTGTGTATGTGTACTTATAATTATTCTGCCAATAGTAAATGGTGAGAACACCCAATATATACTTTATATTTAGAAACCTTTGTCACTGATATTTCATTTCATGTTTTATTTATAGAGGTTAACCCTGATAGAGGCAGTCAGGTCATACCTGTTAGAAGATGCAATTACATTCTTAATAACACTTGCCGTGTAATTAAGCAAAATGCCACAGTAAAGGGCATTCTCTGGTTTGCGACAAAATCTGGGATGGAAATGTTTCTGAATTCTCCCTTGGCATGACGAGCAGGTGGGACAATCACTAGTACTACTACTGCTTTTAATCCTTCATTTAACCACATTATTCATCCCTGAACAAATTCTTATTAGCAATGACAACCTGTCCAAGAGACGTATACCATTGTTGTGCTGAAAATGAAGCACGGAAAGTAACATCAATAAAAAAGACAGAAAGGTTTTAGACATCAAACAAGCCCTTGAGTGCTGTGAATGTTACCAATGTGTGTTAGGTATGCTACTGGCATTGCTTCTGCTTGTTCACGGTTTGCTTTACATAAGATGTAGGTTTCCTCTATGTGGATTAATAAAGAAACATTTCTTATGGACTTATGGTTTTCGAAGGAGTCCAAAGTGAGTGAGTACTAAATTAATTGAATGTAATGCATCAGATTAATTCATTTAATTTTAAAGGAGTTGGGGAAGGACCAGGCAGTTTGTGACACCCCCAAATTTCTTCCAAGAGCTCCTTCCTGCAGGTAGACACCGAGGCAGGTGGTTTGGGAGGCATGGAAGTAAATGAAGATGCGTTGTGAGCTCATTATTAGCTGCTGTGCACTGGTGCAGGGTGTGCTGGGGGTCTTAAGGGAGAGCTGGTCAGGCGCTGCTGTGTTGCTGGGAGCTATTCACCAGCGGTGCAGGATTTACAGACCAGCTGGGCTCCGCCAGACACCTGCTGCTGGAGCCACAGGGTGAGGAGAGTCTTCAGGGCTTTCTGTTACCTGCTAACAGCTGCCCCCACTTTTCATCACACTACCCCAGGGCAAGCCTCATGTGCCCCGCAGCACCAGGCAGATGTATTTACAGTCTGCTGCCCATTGGACTGGCGCTAATTTCTTGTGCACAAATTGCCTTCCCTGTGCTGTCCTTCCTTCTCCGAAGTGAGAATAGAGAACAGAGTGAACTTGCCTGCTCTCTGTACTCGCTTACTTACCAGTCGCTTGTGAGGCAGTTGGTGTGAACAGGTCACAACAAAATGGGGTTGAAGCAGATTCGTAGCGGGGAGTCTGTTTCTTGTTCTGTGCTAACATCTGGTGCTATCTGTGACTTTCACTTTGTTGCTGGAATTCAACAAAGTGCTTTAACACACTTCAAAGTTTGGAATTTTATAAACGCTTTGATGGCTGATGCACAGCCTAGAACAGAGTGTCTGCCCTGTCTTTCTCACACCCGAAGAAGGTTCCACAGCCGAAACGTGTTTTCTTCTCTTTACAGCATGGAATAAACTTACCGTATTACTTGTTCCTTTGTAACTAAACTATGTTGTGCAAAACCATCAGAGGTACTTAAGGTAGCAAAAATAGCGAGTCACAATTAGGTGGGTATAGAAATTATGGGCATGTGTTTTTTTTCATGTTTTTTTTAATTGGGAGCATCATATAGTGGGATCTCTTGCAGAGGATGGTGAGGCATCTTCACATACAATGTAATGAACTTGCTGTAAGTGTGATAGTTTTGTAAAATTGGGTCTTCAACAGTGGTGGTTTTATGGTAGGATACAGTATTCATTTCTGTGCATTCATTTATATTACATCAAAAGAGTGATTTATACATCTCTGGTTACCCAGCTTTGGCAGTGGAACAATGCAGGTTGTGAACACTCCCTTCCTGGCATGAATATCAAAAGTAATTCAGATATGTGCCCTATACTCCAGCTCCCTACACAGAGCAAATCACAATGAAGTGAGTTTGCATCGACTGATACAAATTAACCTAAAAAAATAACCCCCCTCATTCAGCCTCCTGTGAAGGTATCTGTCACTTTGATATCTTTTTAAATGTTTTTTCTGCCAGATCAAGAGTCGGTCACCAAGGACCGAAATGTCAACGGATCAGCTGAAAACACAAGGAATGACCTGCTTTGGTAAAAACCACAAAGCAATTTTCCGCAAGATTTCATCTGCAAACCTTGTGATTGAAAAAACCTTTCATTTGTTTTCTATATAGACAGTATGTGTGTATATACTGCATATGTACTGTGTATATACAATACAAATTCGTGTATATATACTGTACATAGGAGGAATATGACACATTCTTCACCATTACAGATTTGAACAAGTATAAGTAGGTTTAGAATATATTTGTTATGTGCTTCCTAGATTGAGGAGAGTGGTGAAATTTATTGCTTTATTCTTTTGTTTAAAAGATCCAGTCAGCTGCTTGCTAATCTCACAAAGGATGGATTCTACCATTTCAGCTTCGCCTCTCATAAAGCACCCAGATTCCATGCCAGCTATGCATCATCACCCTCTGTGTTTAAGCCTTGAAACCTCTAAGTGTAAGAATTAGTTAATAGAAGCTCTGTAGGTGTATAAATCATCCCAGGGTCATATCACAAATACTGACACTATTCTAGCACTGTAATATCTGTCTACCCTTTGTGGTTAAGAAACATTTGGATTTTTTAAAGCTGAATCTCATGTATTTAATGTACATTCAGTCCTTTCTTTCAAGATTGATTTTTTAAAGTCTACACTACTAGTTATTAATACTGCTGGATATATGATTTAGCTAAATTGTAAGTTAAACACGCTTCACTAGGGTGTGATGGGCAGTTGCCACCTGGCTATATAACTTCCACTAGGCAAGTATGACAGAGAATGTCATTAAACACTCATTAAGACCTTTCTTGAGAGGCTTGGATCGAGTGTATAAATTCAGACTGTTTTGTAGAGAAGCTGTCAGTGCAAGGTGAAGGTGTGAGTTCACAGAACTGAATATAATGATGTTACAATGGGAAACATCAGCCTGCATCCCACCGCCAAGTTGCCTGACCTTTTTTATGTTCTTCAACGTAGTGCAAGAAATCAGCTAGGGAGAAAAATGCTTCTGGATTTATACTAAGAGCTATCAAACACTCAGTCTTTTTAAAAAGTTTTGTTTTTTTGGTGCATATTATCTGTCCTCTCTTTGTGAGCCCATGAGAGGTTATGTTTATTTATTGATTGCTTTAGATATTGTATATGTTCACTGAAAGTGGATGTGTTAAAAAAATATAAACCAGAAAATGTAATTATGACAATGTATCAGAAGTAAGGAATTAGTGGAGTTAGATCATGTGATTCACCACCATTAGGTATGAAATATTAAATCAGATCATTTTTTTGCAATGGTAATTCTTCTTGCGCTGAGTAGATAATAATGAAATCTGACTTTTTGAGTGTTTTTATTGTTGGTAGATGTAATTATTTTATATTGCTCTGTTGTCCTTATATAAATCATTTCCTTGATACAGGGTCAACTTGGAGTGGTCCAGCATTTTTTGCAGAGTGAAGGGGGTGCTTGAGTATAGCAGCTTAATAATTAGGAAATTTAATTGCTTAATTTAGAAGTGAAACATGTACTTTGAAGTGAGCATGCTGACCACTGTCTTATGTTTTGTGCTGATCTCATTTTTTTCGTCAGAGAACTCTCTAGTTATTATGTTATGCAGTTTTGGAGGGGAGACGCCAGTTTTTTTAGGCCTGTTTCACTTAGTAAACAGTAAGTGGCTTCAGCCCCACATACAGATTCCCCCTTTTTTATAATCCGGTCTAATATAACCCTTGTCTATTAAATGTTATTGCAAAAGCTTTTTCATAAACCATGCCTATTGCCAGAATATTTTCTTTTGTGTTCCAGATAAAGGGGAGCTGTGAAAAAGTGCTACTTAAACTGATTCTGAGATTCTGCTTAAGCTTATTAAAAGATATTTTATAGATGTTTTGTTTTGCAGCATAGAGCTTAGACTGCCACCTTGTGGCTATTAATTACATGGCAGAACTGTCTACAACAGTATGAATATACAGGTACAAATTGATGTTAATACCACTCTGAAATGTATGTTGTTCTTCTGTATTTAAATTAATTTCTCATCAAATAATTTAAAGTATTATCTTTTGTGTTTTTTATTTTTCAGTTTTCATCATGGCTTCGGGACTCCTGGTGTACCCTTTTGGACTTAACTCTACCTTGGTGAAATCCTATTGTGGAAATTCAGGCATCTACTATGCAGGGGAGTGCCAGATAGGCTGGGGCTACATGCTGGCTATTGTCGGAGTGATGCTTACAATCTTCCTGCCGTTCTTTGCAAAATATGCACCTAAGGAGCATGTGTCTCCAACTCCACTACCCACTATTTTATAGTGCAACTTAACATGGTCTAATGGTAAAACCATTATAAAAAGCACTTCTTTAGGTGATGGGGTAAAACAGAATGCAAGCCTTTAACAGACCCAAAGTATTCTTGTCTTCCTTCACATGATAAGCTACTTTACCAGTATTTAGTTAAACCTTTTATTTTTTCACATGCTTTATATGGGTATTGGCATTGTTAGTATGGTTTACAAATAGGTGACGGTCCTTTATTTTGCTTAATGAGCTCATGATTAGACATTGAGTCTTAAAAACTACCCATTTACTTTATAAGAAAACATTGAAGACTTAGGGTCAGAGATGCATTTGTGACCATAAAAAAAATTCCACATACAAAAGGATCATATTTATAGTTATTTTTTATGGTTACAGCACTTATGCAGATATCTAACTGTTTAGTATCTTCTTACAGCCAGAGCAAGCAGCCAACATGCCTATTAAAATCAATGTGTGGTATGGGAGAAAAAAAACATTCCAGATTTTACTGATTCCATTATCAGGGAGTAATTACACACAATATGACAAGGAAAGTGGACATTGTCTTACAGAATAAATGTTCTTCAGGGACTTTCAATAACAAATATGTAAATCGGAGTGCTCCTCTAAAAATGGTTCTTTAAAGGGGGTGCCTTCAAATTAAAATGAATATATACTGTATAGTATATATATCATAGTGTACGTCCATAATGAAGAGGAAATAGACCAAGTTTGGACATCACTGGCTTCTGAAGATAGTTGAGTTATGGTAAAAGACCTGAAAAAAGGTTATAGTGCTGGAAGAATAAGAAATAGGCAATGAGCATGTTTTGAACAGTATATTGAGACTTGACTTAAAATTGCATGTGGAGACTAATGGTTACCACATCCAGTCAGCAGCTTCCAGATTTCTTGCAAAACATACAAGTGAAATCAGCACGGTTTCCTTTCAAAATATGTTTGTTAAATTTGAACTGGAGTAGGTTGCTTATGAGGCTGAACTAATGACCTCACCTTTATATTATGAACTCCTTTTTAGATCAAATGAAAAAATGAGAAACATCAGCCTGTTGGCAAAGTTCTGTTTGCTTCAACAGTACACGTCACTAGTCTGTATGTCTTCCTTCTAAGATTTCCTCTTTAATTTCTTAAAGTTATAAAGAAAATCAGAATTGCACACCATAGGAAGGTATTGAGAATTATGACAATTTTAATAATCTAATGCTTGTGTAGGATAAGTTGGAATAAATGTGTACAGACTTTATTCTACACTAGAACCTTGTATAGAAAGCTTGCGTTATTATTCTCTCCCTTATTCGAGATGAAAATGTGAGAATGTAATTTTTTCTGTAAATCGAAGCAAATTTACCTTTTTCTGTACTTCATTGGTGTCTAACAAAATGATGGAAGTCTGTAAAACTTTAGGATAAAGGCAAGAGGAAATGCATATAAGAAATGAAAATGCATAAAAAGTTGGGATTAGTCACCATGAAAATATTGCTTGTTTGAAAACTCATTCAGACCGGACCAACTTGTGCCTTTGTAAGTTCACTTCAGTGCTGTTATCAGGTTTTCATCAATAGCCGCTGAAACTCAGTGTACAATGTTCGGCAAACTAAAACACTTGTTTTATTTTCCTATGATGTGTGTAATGCATTTTGTAATTGTTTCCTATTGTATTTTGTGGAAAGACATTGTCATTCATCAGTGGGAAAAAAATCTGTAAAAATCCTGTGTCAGTTTTTATTATATTCCAGTGCAAATGACCAATTTAATTAGGCCCCAACAACCTCTGTCAATTAAATACCAGTAATATGTCATTTTAGTGCTATTTAAAAATAGGAGTTGCATTTGGTTCTGTATTCATTGCTTTGACGTCCTTACAAAGTGACTCAAAGATGTGCGTGGCACAATGTTTCATCAACCCAAACTGAATTTGGGTCACCCTTTTCAGGTATTGTTAGTGACATACAGTTCTAAACAAGTTAGAAATCATCTACAGGACTAAACCCATGTTTTAACTTTCTATTCATAATATTTACATGATTTGTATTCTCTCTTAAAAATGATAGCGAGTCAAATTTCAAAATAGTTTTATCATCACAATACACACCCAAATAGTTGCTCTATTTGTATAGTTTCAGCAGTGGGGTTGTTTTTTTTTCTTGGTTACATGTTTTTGAACCTTCCACAAATAAGGGAAACATTAGAGAACACAACTTAATTTAGCAAACTAATGCCCAAGTATGCCAATAAAAATAAAAAAACAATCTGAATTATTCTGATAAATAGTAACCTACATCAAATCTTTAACTCATTCATTTTATAATTTCTATCTTGTTTTCCATTGATCTAAGATTGTTATTGGGATCATTGTACAGGATTTTTTTTAAACTTGTATGTTGTATGTAAAGTCTTAACACTGGTGAAATACTGTTTTGTAGACTGTAGTTGTAAGGAAGTTCCAATGTAATTTTTGTTGTAAATAAACTAATTGTCCAGGCTATTTTTTTTTTTCACTTTCAAGCTGCATTATTTTTTATTGACATGCTTTAAAATGTGTTACTTAATCTACGTAATATATCAAAAATATATGTCCATTTTAAAATCTTAAATAACAATTTTAAACATTTCAACAAAAAGCAATCACAGTATCAGTAATTACTTTGATTTATTTAAATTTGTCCTAAAATAACTTGCATATTTAACACTATGGTTGTTTTGAAAACTGCATTCATTGGTACTCTGAAGAAGTTTAACTACAAAGACATAAGCTTACAAAACATAAAGCTTAATACATAACTGTTTTTAAATATATACAGTAAGTACAAATACTGACATTCAACATCATTTTAATTATCATCTGTGGAGAAATTCCTACTTAACAAGAATTGTTACTTAGAGAAAACAAACTATTGATGTGAGATATTACATTTAACTGTATAATCAAACAGGGAACTGTTTAATGAATAAGTACTTTTGGAATGCATGTACTGTTCTATAAACATTTACATTTTTTGTTCTTGTTTCGAAGAAATCAAATGACTATGGATGAATCTAATCAAATCAAATAACTGTGTGGTGAAGTTGTTAAATTTCTCTAAGCATTTTTACAAATTGTCTCATTTCAGCATCTGAAGCTTTAACAGACTCAAGACAGTTTTTCTGTTCTGCTTGTGTGGCTGGTCTTACCGAAACACATTTTAAAAGGTTTCTGCTTTTATCATAGTTTCCAACACATCTTTGAACTTGACCTCTGATTAATCTTGGAAGTTCACGGTCCTGTTTAAAATACAAAGGTAAGCATGTTATTGTAACAGTTACAGTAACAGTTTTCATAATCTTTTTATTAACGTGCCCTTTGTCATTTCAGACTTGACTATGAGACAGTGATTAAATTTCTAGTTCCAATAACTGTAGTAACAGCTCTATACAATGTTGTTTTTTAAAAACGAATTATGTAAAAACTATAACTACAGTACCTGTACAAACAAAATAAAGATTTCAAATGACAAAGGAAATGAAAAGTAAAAGATATCTGCAGAATTAACTAGCTTTTGTCCGAGTGTCAGAGAAACAATGGTTCTCATTTTACAGCTCAGCCAAATGTTTTTTATGCACAGCTAAGCACAGAAAACTAATTTCAAGAAGAAACGACTTACAGTTTCATAAAAAACACACTGCACGATATCCTTCCCGTCTCTTAAAAGAAAGTTCTTTGAACCATAAGGTCCAGTTGTGACAGGAGAGTCAAGAGTAGCTGTAAAAGATTTTCAAAAGTAAGCTGACCACAGCAAACATATTGTATTATTTGATCTAAGCCAGTGATTCCCCTCGCTGGTCCTAAATCCCCCCTGCCTTCTGGTTTGTGTTCCAGACGAGCTCTTAATTGCAGACTAATTGAGTTCAGCTTTCAACCTGAGGCATATTTGCTTTAAAAGTTGAATGAAATTTATGATTGTTCCCAATGTTACCAATTGTTATCGATTTTTCAGTTTCAGAACCTAAGTCAATTTAACCTGAAATATAATCAACTGGAAGTCTGCAAAAACTCACTGATTGTGAGAATGTCATCCATCCCCATCAGTGCTTCTTTAACATAAGTGATCAATTGAAGTTTAGACACAAAAAAGGGAATCAACTCTTAAGTCCAGCAGAAGCAGTATGCTGTATTGCCCTGTATGACGAAGCCGCTAGAAACAGTACCCTTAAAGTTGTGCATTTCGGAAACTAAGGACTGAATGTAGAAAAGGGTAAGAAAATTACACAAATATCACAAGCAAGCCGTATAATTATAATTAAATGCATAAATTAGCAGACCAGTACTAATCACAATAAGGCATGAACAACCGGGATGTAATGAAAACCAGCAGACACAGGCATTCCTGAGGACCAGATTGGGAAATATAGATCTAAGATTCTTCCATTAAGAGTCTCTTAATGGTTTAAGTGAGTCTGAGGTCGGGTACAAATTGTACCTGCCCTAACTTGCATCAACCCAAAGCACTTGCTAACCCAATTAATATTAAGGTAGAAAGGAGATTCATACTAAACCAAAAAAGAGATAATGGACAGAGAGAACATACCGAAAACCTCAAATAAAAGAGCAGCTTTGTCGCTGTACTGACTCCAGTGCTTCATGCCTTCAGCAACTGTTGTCAGAATTCGCAGAGATTTTTCTTCTATAGGTCTAGTCTGGAGCGCTGGCGTATTCTTCAGAATTACAGAAAAATCGATATTTTAAGGCATCGAAAGTACTTTTTTTAAAAAAGTTATAACTATAAAGGTTTAAAAGAGATTGTATATCTAAAATTAATCAAATTGTTTTTATAATTATACAGTATAATGATCTGGCCTTACTATAGTACTGTAACACTTTGTTACACCTAAAAATAAAACTATAATTTAAAACGGATTATACTTGGCTATGAACTGTTATCATTATGTTATGTGAGAGATTTTAACTATAACTCTACTAAAGTTACTGAATCTGTAATTATTTTGTGCTAGCATGAGTAAACCGATAAAAATAATACCTGAAATTCATCAAAGGTATTGGGAGGGCCTATATCCAGACTGTCTCTTTTTAACTTGGTGGAGTGGGTAGCTGCTTTAAATTGCCAGGTGGGGTTCTGTAATCCTAGAGCTCCACGCTGAGATGCTTGCGATTGGCTAGATTTTTGTCTTTGCAACTCTTTTTGATGGAAGGACTCAGAAAGATTGGACTGTCTGTTAAATGACTGGAAACCGGATTTTTGGTGGGAGTCAACAGTAGCCATTTGGCTCTGAATGTTTCCACTGCTGCTGGGAAAGCTATTTTGCTTCATATTCACAGGCATGCCAGGATCTCGCCAGGGTACTGAACTAAAGTCCTGCTGTCCCATTTTTGATCTGAAATACCAAACTACAATTAGTTATTTGAAAGACTCGTAGATGACTTAAGTCTTGCAATGCCAAATGTACTTTCTGCATTTGATTCCATCCCCAGATGTAAAGATAAAGGACACAGTTATAAATGTATTTTTAAAAAATAGTATGTACTGTAGGTAAGCAAGATTACCTTGCATAGTTATTCCATGCCGTGTAAAAGCTACACATAAGCAAAAACGTACTGTATGTGTAAATAAAAGATGTAAACAACTGTACTGTGATTTAAAAAGTAGACTTCAGTAACCATACCCAGTCTTGCCAGGATGTGGCAATGGTGCATAGCCTCTTCCTCTGGAGCTTACATTTGGACCTGTGTTCTGACATCCTTGCTTGGTCCACTGGGTGTTCTGGGCTGTGGACATTAAGTTGCTCTGTGCTTGTACCTGGGAGAACCCTGCATTACCTAAAAAGGCAGTTACTGAATGCATCTCTCCAGTGTCTTTGTGAAAGGGTGTAAATAACAGCAACAATTACAGAACACCTTTCCTCTTGTGGGTTCTACCAGCAGGTCGAATAGGACCCTTTCTAAATTCTTGTATTGTATTAGATTTGTGCCATGAATGAAAAATCAGAAGAACACTTTTTAAGTGGGGGGAGAACTGTACACGGTTCATCCTCTTGAGTGGAACAGAGGAAGATTCAGTTACGGCTTTGTTCAGTTAGCGTTGTCCACTCTTATTTCATAAACATTCACCTTACAGCTAACGTGGTGATCACACAACTACAGCAGAGAACGTAGCCATTTTACCATAAACGTTTTTTTGTTTAATCTGTTGTTGTTTTTTTTGTTAAATGGATACTGCATATTTTAAAAAGGCAATCTAAAAAGAACAGGAAATCAAAACTACCTGATGACAAAGAGGGAGATGGAAAGCCCGGTGAAGATGAATATTCATTTCTGGAGTAGAATTCATCCTCTGAAGGATTTGATGTCAAAGGTAGTCTGTTTCGTTTCTTTTGATTAAACAATGGTACAGACAAGCAACCTTTACACAACAAAGAAAAACACTGAGCCAGGGATGGGCTACATGTATTATGCATATGATACATACTGTATACAGAATTTAACCCCAATATGAACTTGAGTGTAACACATTATGTATATAATAACATCTCATCTCTTACATTTACATATGTTATGCGATATTATTCTGTAGTTCCTGTAGAACGTACAGTATTACACCTAACTGCTTAATAGGCCTATTCATCTACTAGACAATATACATTACACTCAATCCATCTTTCACTGAGTTCATGTTATAGTACATTTCTGCAGTATATTATTTTTTTCTGTAAATTGAATTGTACATCAGTTAAGCCATTCCATTCATTCCAAACGAAACCAGCTTGTTTGTGAGATTTGGCTAATATTTAATGAATAGGATATAATCAACCTGAAATCTGGATTGGTAGTATGGAAAAGACTAAATCAGGTAGAATTAATTGGATATGATTGTGGACACTTCTACCACACTGTTTGAAACAATTACTTTGATTTTATCATTATGTTTTCAAATAATGGTTTGTTTTTTAAAGCAAGTAAATTATTTGATGAGCAAATAAAAGTCTTGAACCATTAATTTGTATAGAAATATAAAATCAGTCTCTAAATATGGTATAATTTAACCCATTATCTTCATATCTTTGTTTATCTGTTTCTAATTCCAAGCATATTCATTAAGAAGTTGTAAATTGTGTTGTTCAAATTCAACTATTATTATTATTATTATTACTAGCTTAGCTGATACTCTCGTCTATAAAAAGTACATTAAAACTGGGTAAGACCAATACAATGAAAGGAAATCTAAAAAGTAAATGATGAGGTTAACACAAACCAGAAGAACAATGAAGCTGCATCTCTGAACATGAAAGGGATAACATGGCTATGAGAGGAGAGACACGAGTATCGGAGGAACAATAAGAGAGGAAAATGTAATTATCATGAAGCCTGTCATAGGTTACCTGACTAAGCACGTATCGAGAGAAATACGGAGAGGTGGGTTTAAATGTTCGTTCAGTTGTGCTGTACCTGTGGGTCCCGGTCACTGTCACTCAGGTGTCTTACCTGCCGTCGGTCTTGGAGGGTTTTCACTGTGAGTTCTCTTCATGTCACTAACGGAAAACCTGTCGTGCTGCATGAAAATACAATAGACACAAATCCAACACAGCTGGAGAGTGAGCATTTCAGCAAGACGTTACGAACAGCATTGGTCAAAAAATTATATTTTTATATGACAAATATATATTTAACATTATTACGTTTTTACATAAGATTATGTTATAGAAGCTTGTTTTTCGTCGTCGCATATTACTACAGGGGGGAAAAGGCAACTCTGCATTTTTGCATTAAGCTGTCACCACTAGATCGACTCATATTTTTTCCATGGGGCTCTGCTGACCTCTACAGGAAATTCACCTAACTCCACTCTTCTAAACACAATGTACAACGAAGCTTTGAGGGGACTCATGTAAACGACGGGTTAAGTTCGTAGGTATTAAATGCTTTCTCATAGTTATTTTAGTTAAAGGCCAAGAGCTACTAAACGTCTTATTGTGTCTCTTTAATTTATCCGACTTAATGGCGACATATTTAAATTATGGCTTACTTTCAAGGTAATTATTAATTATTCAACTAAAAAGACCGGCGGAAAATCGTTTCCCGACACTTGTTCGCTGTGTATTCGCTGTACGTATTATGTTAAGTGCCATAAAACTTCGTCCGATTATGGTTTAAGGGAGGCAAAACGACTAAGCCCTGAGGGAAGTTGTTAACTTTTAGTTGTGACGAATTTATTAATAATTACCTATTAAAAACCGATCCGATCGGCTCGTCTCCAACTGCCCGTTCCGCGTCTCGAGCCCGCCGGCACGCGGGCTCGCGGGAGCTGCCGCGAGACCTTCAGAAATTGGCCTAACATTGCAGCCCGCGTGTCTAGAATTGCCGCAATTCACGACATAGCATTTTCTTATAAAACATTTTTTTTTTTGTAAGGCGAGACTCGGTATGGGCTGCGCACGGCGAAATAATTAAAAAATGGAAGTGCAAATCATCTAACTTGCGTAGAAGCGGAAAAACACCACTGCATACAGTGTACAGTGTGTACAGTACCATTACATAAAGAGCTGTATAGGCAGTGACTCCCGGAATAGTCCATCTCCTTCAGAAACGTACTTTCGTAGGGAAACAAAAAGTATAACTACAGCGAGGCAATGTCCCGTGAAAACTTCAAAGCAACCGCAAGTGCCTGGACTCGGGCCATGATCGCGAGTGGTGTTACAGCTGCGCTGGACAGGCAGCTGACGGGAAAGACGGGGAACAGGGAGGAAAAACAAGGAGAAGCGCTCAGGCACAGCAGTGGACGTTCTCGCAGTACCGGTCAGAGCACTCTGCGGGAGAAAATGAAGTGCGGTCAGACCTGTCGAGCGCTTCACCGTACTGCTGGTACAGTGCGTGCTGTGAAAATGCCCCTTTTGTTTTTTCGTTCTGTTTTGCAGGTGGAGACGGACTGAACTGATCTCGCCTCTCCCGATCGCACTGTGCTGTAACAACACTGTCCTGTCCTGTGACAGCCCCTCCCTAAGGGGGTGTTGGTGGTGGTGGGGGGTGTTCTTGTGTTATCGGAGGAAAGGTACTGTACAGCTGCAATTTCCGCGCTCGGGCACCTGTCTAACCTGTTGCACGGAACGTACTGTGCCGCACTTGTGGATCAGAGCCAGCTGCCAGCGAGCGCGTATAAGGAACTGTACCCTGCAGACGAGCAGGAGGAGGATCTTGCGAGGCAAACCCGGCCCACTGAAGTAATGTACAACACGGGAGCAATGTACAGTACTTCAGCCATTTAATCGTTACCATTATGCAAGTTTGAAGCATGCCGGGCAGCCGAGACTGAAGCCCTCCCAGCGGAAAGGCCACTTTTAACTTGCAACTTTTTGTTGGCTGCGGGGCTTCTCCAGTTTTCGGGGCGATGACTTCCTGCCACCGCGGTGCGAAAGGGCTCAGCCGGGCTGAAAGGGTTGCTATTTTCGGGGGGTCGCACGGGAACGAAATGTCAGGGGTGACGCTGGTCAAGCTCTGGCTGGAAAACGGGGTCGAGATCCGGAGGCGCGGAGTCGAGGTGACCCCCTTCATCGCCAACCCCAGGGCGGTGGAGACGTGTACGAGGTACATCGACTCGGACCTGAACAGGGCTTTCACGACCGAAAACCTGAGGTGGGTCTCCTGGCAGCCGTGCAGTTTCGTGTTTTGACAGAGGTTTTACGAGACGTCGTTTCTATCACACCTTTCACTGCAACAAGGAGACTAACCCACATTTGGAAACGGGGAAGACTTTCCAAGACATGTTACCTCGTATTATTATATAATTTATAAGCTGATAATGACCATTTTTATAAATCCTTTCTATCGAATAATCTTCCCTTTTGATTTGGTCACGAAGTTTTTTTTTTAAGAAGACCGCTCCGGATACCTCACAGGAACTTCACGCTGAAGTGTCCGGGGTTAGTTCCTCTTCTCCTTTACACTGGCGAAAATATTAAAATTGTTGGGTTACGAAGCGTTTCCGTTCCTTTACCGTCACCCGTCCGCCATGCCTTCGAAAGCTCTTGAATCCCCCTGAAGTGCTTTCTTGTGGTGCTCGATGGACTTTAATAAGCGGGTGAGCTGAATAAATAAAGATGACTTCAGCGAGCTAAAGGGCTCCTTTGAGAACATGAGAAAAACAAGCATATAAAAGTGCAGGAAAACCCGACAAAAGAAGTTGCTCTTGCGTTTTCTTCCCCCAGTAGGCCTTTAGCGCAGACCAATGGGCCTGTTCTGTGCCCAGTTTGTAAAGAACTGGAAGTTGGCCTACTTGGCAGTGCCAACCTGGAAACTTAAGAGACTCCACATCCCTCCACCACAGTGGAACAGCCACTTGCTAAACCTCCATACTGCTCTTTGTGGGACGTTATTTATTCTGTATACAGGAGACGGGGGGAGAGCAGTCCGGGGATGCAGGGAATTTAAATACGCGGCTCAGCTTCAGGCACAGCTTCGGAGAACAGAGTACATTTAGTCCATCTGTGCCGGGCTTGCGGAGGAACATCGTGCCGAGGGCGCCTCTGAATGGCTTCAGCCCACTTCTGCAACTGTAAGGCTGAGACTATGGGGAAGTGAAGGTGGGGCCGACAGGGCTGAGCTCATGGAACAAGCAACAGGGAGTTGAGCAATCTGAGGTTTTTAGCCCCCAGGCAGAAGGTCTGTGGGGAAGCGTTTTATAAGTGGGGGTTTCCATCCCCAGTCCTGGAGGAACTGCTTGTCCACAGCTTTTTTTTTTTTTGCTCCAGCCGAGCTCTGCATCACTAATGCTAATTGACAGCTTTAATTGATCTGCGTGCCGGTTTAGACTTTCGGGGAGCTTGTTTCCAAATTCGCCCCCCCGAGATTAAAAGAAAATCTTCTTCCAGTGTACTGTTTCCAGGAACCTCTGGGTACACAACTTCAAGTCCTCCTTATTCAGCTTTCGAACCCTCATTTCTGACGTGACGGCTCTTAATAGGTGATCAATTTATGATGAACTGACGCAGAGGGGAATGACAATATATCACACATTACCACCACTTTCCTTGTGCCGAGGTCCAGTGGGTTCAAATAAGTTTTGGAAGTTAGAAATTGGTTCAGGGTTCAAATGGATTACAAATCTCTTTAATTATTCACATTTCTAGAATGTATATCCAGTGGTTAAGATCCTGGCTGGAGCAGAACCCTTAAAACACTGTGTGTGTCCCAGGATCAGGAATAGGATCCCTGGGGCCTACACTTTTTTTTAATGAGCTAGACGCCTTGTTTTATTCTGAGGTGCATAGATTGCAATTGTTAAAACATACATAGGAGCTTTGAGATCTTCAGTGTATTTTATTTCCACACAGATATGTTTTAATTGTAAAAAAAAAAAAAAACACAGTCCAATCCAAAACAGGGTGTTTTCTTTAAAAAAAAAAACAAGCAATGTTGCAGTTACCTGTGAGATACATGAAGGACTAAAAGCGAAAACAAACCTGGATGTTTGAAAAACACTGTCCCAAATGACCACACTAATGAGAGCAGCCAGAAGAGTTGTGTAATGTAAAGCAAATGAGCAGAACATCATCTTCAGGTATGAACTGAAATTGAGAGGTGAAGACCAATACACCACAGGTGCAACATTGGCTCTATTACACAAGTGAGTGGTTCACGGAACATGCTGGCTGAAAGGCTATAGAGCCTTTAGCTGTTTTACAATTGCAATGAAGGGAAAAGCTTACAATTGTGTTGTGAAAGCCCACAACATTTTAAAACAGCACCGCGGACAGTAAGAGCAGCACCAGGCGAATGGAAGAGTGGCTCTTCAGTGTCACAGGGAGAGCCTGACACCGTGGCAGAGCACAAAACATGTGGCAATCGAAGACTCATAAAAAAGGCTTTGATGCATTTCGGAATGTGAAATTCGTGCTGTGATGTTGCTGTGCACGTTTTACTCTGCCTTTGAACGGCAATATGAATATGCGTCTGAATACAAATGTGCAATTTGAATAACTCCTCCTGTGCTGCAAAAGGCCCTGCTCCACTGCACACTGCCAGCTTTCTGTGCTGAAGAGCAGGGGGAGAACATTTGTGGGTTTATATAGAACCTTAGTCAAACCAGTAGCGCGCTTTTTAACCTCACTGGGAGTTTGCTTTAAAAGGGTGAATGCTCTGCGGTGTCAACAAAATCCTACAAGTGCATTTGAAACTCATTTGCCGTGTCCTGCAGCACAGCCTCTCTGCTCTCCCTCAAATGTGATTTAAGGTTTTTTAAGTAGATTACTACATGTATGACGTGGTTGCTGCATCTTGCAGGTAAACTGATTAGCTCTGGCCTCCAGAGCCTTCCCCTTTTGCTTGTTAGATTCTTATCTTTTCTAATTACAGAGCGGGACACGGCCCTTCATTTAATATGCTGTTGAACTAGCACATTCATCACCAGGGGCTTTACAGGAACGGCTGATTACGGGAATGTTTGATAGATATGCGATGTCTCCACAGGGCACCCCATTGCGAAGATCTGCCTTATGAAGTGAGAAGAGCTCAGGAAATCAATCAGATATTTGGACCAAAGGGTAGTCAGGATGCCTATGATGTCATCTTTGATCTTCATAATACTACCTCTAACATGGGAGGTACGGTGATTCTAGAGAGCACGCAGGATGACTTTAATCTTCAAATGGTTCATTACATTCAGGTAACAACTTTTAATTCCAAGGCAAGGATGTCAAAGTCAATTATGCTTCATAGAAAAGACTAAATGCCATTACATCAGTTAGCCTACTTTGAATTAAAAGCTTTAATCTCAACTTGCGTAGTAAAGCAAAACATTAGGTTTCACTCCCCCCTTCTGATGTGAAGCAGTGACTAAGTCACTCTCAGTCTTTGAATCTCACCAGTAGCTCTATCACCTTGCAACTCACAACTGGTAGCCCAGCAGGTGTGAGTCTGGCCAGTACCTGGATGGGAGACCTCCTGGGAAAGTTAAGGCTGCTGCTAAAAGGGGTGTTAGTGGGACCAGTAGGGGGCGCTCACCCTGTGGTCTCTGTGGGTCCTAATGCCCCATTCATTATAATGCCCCATCATTGTAGTGATGGGGACACTATATGGTAATATACGAAACATAAAACTTTGATTATTTTTCCTGACCCTCTGTGGTCATTAAAAATCCCAAGATTTCGCCAAAAAAAAGTAGGGGTGTTACCCTGGTGTCCAGGATAAATTTCCCCCTGGGCTTTACCAGTCATGGCCTCCTAAAGTCTCCATCTCTGAACTGGCTTCATCACTCTGCTCTCTTCCCCACTGAGAGCTGGTGTATGGGGAGAATACTGGTGAATCATCCAGGTGGGGCTGCACACTGGTGGGGGTGGAGGGGATCCCCATTACCTGTAAAGCACTTTGAGTGGAGTGTCAAGAAAAGCACTATAGAAGTGTAAGGAATTATTATTATTATTATTATTATTGACCACTGGCATGGAAGTTCATGGGATTCCGAGGATGCAGTGGATGGGTCACCAGTAAGGAGTTTCTGCTTTGTCACTCAGAGCGCCATCGCCCCAGCCTCCTGCTCCGTGCTGGTGAACGATCACCCCGTGCTTAAGTATGCCACCACACGATCTGTCGCCAAGCACGCTCTGGGTGAGTATCAGGTCCACCTCCGCAAAGCTACACGGCGAGCAGAAATCCAAAAGAAATGTAGGGTCTTGCCTCCGGGACCGGCACTGCAAATGATCCGCACATACGACCTTTGATGAAAGCAGGGGGCCTCATTTCCTTCCACGTGTCACAGCTCCTGCAGACAGTTGCCAGAGCTGAGCCAGCTCCATTCAGGTTAAGCAGCTTATGTTATAAGCATCTTTTGGGTGTAATTTCCTTACTTGGGTGCCACAGAGGCTCTTTGATTAGCACAGTTGCCGCGGAGCTCCTGTGTCCTGGTACATGTTTTCCCTGCGGTCATGGGGCGGGGGGGGGTTCAACAGGTGCTTTGTTTTCCAATCACCTTCTGGGCTCCCTGAATTATCAGTGTGCTTGAGTGTTGCGAGTGTGTGTTTGCCCCTGCAAATGACCGGCGTCCCATCTAGGGTGTAGTGCCACCTTCTGGGATAGACCCTGGCCTACTGTGACCCTCACCAGGAGTATGTGCCTGTCCGGTGAAGCACAGATGAATCAGTTTCCTTACTTGGGAAACGGTTTTGAAAATGCATCTTGGATCAACAACTATGTACACAACATGCGCAGCTGTGGAGAAATGTGTCTGTGGGGAGTGACATTTCTGTTATGCCTACGAAAGGAAAAATGTGCCTCTAAAGTTCATGTAAAACATTAAAACGCGTCCATTGTTTCTTTCAGGTCTGGAAGTTGGCCCACAGCCGCAGGGCGTTGTAAGAGGCGATATTTTGGAGATCATGAGGAAAATACTGAAGCATGCTTTGGACTTCATCGAGCTTTTCAACGGAGGTCAGTCATTTTGAAAGACTTCACTTTAGGTTAACACTGTGCATTTGTTTTCTTTCAGACCTCAGCAGCCTGCTCCAGTGAAACAGACAAGGTGCATATTTACACACTAGTATTAGTTCTGCTTGAGTGATGGGTGTTTTAGAGGTGCTGACATGTCCTTTTTAATAATAAACGGGATTGTTTTATTACCTTTGGAATTTACTTTGCTACTGTATTTCTACTCTTTTACGCTTATCAGACATTTTGTTAGCATGCTTGCAAAAAGCCGGGAGCATCATGCAGGCTTAAATCATTTAAAGCAATATGGTGCTATTGTTACATTAAAGCATTACTGAGTGCTCTTTAGTGTTTAAAATAATGTGTTTGTTACATATGGTGTTTTCTGAATTTTATGCACAGGGATGCATAGAAAAACGTCAAAGACAAACTTTTTCCCGTTTTCGGAAATTTGGTTTTTTTGATTTTAGGTTGCTTCCTTTTTTGCGGTTTGTTCTTTTTCGTTTTTCCTTTTTTTGGGCTTGCTTTTTTTTCACTTCTTTTGAGGGGTTGGTGGCGGATTTGACTTTTAGGCTTTTGTTTTCTTTCGGGTTTTTTTTGAGGCCTTTTGGAATTGGGGGAGGTTAACTTTTTGGGATTTTTTTTTTTTTTTTTTTTTTTTTACTTCTCTGTTTTATGACAGTAAACAGCATTTTCTTTGTCTGAAAGAAAAAGCAATGCTTTCAAGAAAGACTGTGTTCTGCAGTTAAAATGAGTTCTGAGGCATAGTGAACATCCGTGTTAAAGACTCCACTAGATGTCAGGTTTGCACTTCTGTAGGTCACTAACGGACTATCCATGGAATACAGTACCTTTCAGAGCATGTCGTGCTGTTTACATTTTACATCTCACATCATATACTATTACAGTATTTATCAGAAACATATTGCAATCAGTGCCTTTTAAAATGAATTAAATGAATGAAGCTGTGGGGCGAATAGAACTAAACAGAAACAGGACAGCTTTTCTGTTTATTTGTCTCTGTATTACAGATGAAATTGATTGCGTGCCGCACTTTCATCAATACAATGAAAGAAAAGGTGGAATGCCCTGGCATTTTTTCATGCCATGACAATCAGCTCAACAATGGTTCAGCCCTGGCAATGATTAGACTGCTTGTTGAATTGCAAATGAGAAACTGAAATAATAACTGAGATGATGATGTCAAGCTGACCTTGATTAGAACGAGAGGCTGTTTTTTGTGTGCCACAGGTATGGAGTTCCCTCCCTGCACAGTGGATGTTTACCGGGTCTCAGAGAGAGTGGATTACCCCAGAGACGAATGTGGAAATATTTCTGGCTTGGTGCATCCTGATTTACAGGTAAGTTCAGACTGGAGAGAGCTAGACTTTATTTCCAAGGTGTTATGGTTCGATTTTCCGTCAACCTGTAGTTTTAGAACGAAGGTGCCTCTTGATTATTTTAATTTTGATAAAGTTTCCCCATCTCTAGGCCCAAACTGGCCTTCTGTTATGATTTTGATCAGGTAAATATATGGCAATCTTTATGATTAACATGGGACATATATTAGAAAAATGCTCCTTTACATGACGATCTGGTGGGCCCAGTTACTCTGCTTGTGAGTGGAGTCCATAATGGAAAATTTGCAGAAGGAACAACCCTAACTCTTGCATCAGCAGCTCTCTGGAGTGCAAATGCATGCCTGCTAGACCATTATTTCCCAGCATTCAGTGAGGTAACATCCCTCCACTATTCTCAACTCTACTGCTAGTGCAGGAACCCCTCTGTTCATCAAGGGGTTGACCGATTGGCTTGGTTGTCATCCATCAAAGAAAGCAGGTTAAAGCCAAAAATCTCGACTCAACACTCTGTCTACAATCGCATTACTGGGATTTGTCTTCTGTTCTGAAGAATCTTTTA